CTTAACCGACTGCGCCACCCAGGCGCCCCTAGACACATTTTAAATATGAAGGAAATGAGGCTTTGGTCAACTGACCTGCTCAAACTCAAGTAAATATCAACTAAAAACAGAACTATGGAATTCACATTAGGATTTTGGTTTCTTTTTTTTTAATTTTTCAATATTTTTTCCTCCTCCAAATTAAATTCAGATGATTTTTTGAGAGTTGCTTTTTTTTAAAGTATTCTATCTTAACAAATTTTATTTTGGAAACTTACAATAGCTGTGATCATAATGTATAAATCTAAGTTTAAAAATTTTTTTCTCATGCTCTGGACACAAACTGATAAAAGTAAGCGTTGTTGAATAAGCTTACAAATGTACATAGAATACACACACTTTCCTTTTATTCTCTAAGGAAACTCCAAATGATTTTCTCAGATAGAAAATAAAATCTATGGAACCCAGGAGAATATATATAAGGAAAAAATAATGTGAGAGTGTCATGATAAACACATCATGTAAAATAACACACAATTAATGTGAAATTATTAAATACTTCCTCTAGAGAGGTAGTATTATTCAGGTCCTCATCATCTAACACCCAAACTATTGTACAGCTTTCCTGCCTCCAATCTTGATGCTCTCAAATATATCATCCACACTATTGTTGGGATGGTTTTTCTAAAAGATAATCTGACTTTGGTTTCTGCCCTCCTTCATATATTTCATCAGTGTTCAAATATCTACAGATTAAAGTCTGTCAGTAATACACTTTCCCAACAACTATCAGCTTTCACTAATACACTCTCCCAAAAACCTCACCTGACCAGATACTCCTCATTATGATTATGTTCCAGAAACTACTTGCAATTTCCCTAAACTTTCTGTGTCTCTGGTTATGTTATATTGGCACCCACACATATAAACTTGACTTATAAACCCATAAGATTCTCCTTTATATCAGGAAGTTTTCCCCAATACATGTTATGGTATGTGTTGTGATGAACTCACTCCTAGCCTCCCTTCGGAACTATAGTGCTCCTTCTCTCACCTTCCAGGAATGTTGCTGGTTTACAGCCTGTAGCCAGGGTCCCCTGCCTGAGCATTGCCTGTGGCTGAAGAAAGTCACATCACCCGAGGTCACTGTCCTGCAGACAGATTGCATCCAATGACTAGTCAATACAGGAGTATATAAAGGACCCCTTGCCCCAGTTTGGGACAATTCTGAAGGGCCATCCCAGGTTCAGAATTCCACCTGGGATTAGCCAAGCCCTCTACAGTAACTGTGTGTGAATTCATCCTCTCTCTGTTCAGTATTGCTTTCTTCATTCTGCCATGGGGATTGATCCTGAGAGCCCTCCTTTATAAATCTCCCTACACTGATCTCCTCGAGAAATGCATCATCTTCACATAGGCCAGTTTGGATGTTTTGTACTCCCATAGATCCCTAATGGGTCTGTGACAAACTATCCAGTATCCACATTTCTATTATAAGTCATTAACAAGTATTTATTAAATAACTGTGCTTGTTTCCCTTTTCTACTATTTCTAAGCTTCTTGAGAATAGGAACCATTTTCATCAAAATTCAAGATAATATATCTAAGTTAGCAAAAATGTTAAGTGATAGTTAATAACTAATATTTGGTGAGCAGATACTATGCATCAGACACCTTGTTTTCACTTGAAAAAAATAGGCATGGTACACGGTCACAGGTACTGAGATGAGTAGAAGTTATTTGAGGTTCAATATCATAAGTGTGCACCATATGGCCATCCCTCAATAAAGGGAAATACAGAAGTCAATTTCTAGAACTAAATACACTCAAAGCACATATTCTAACAGATAAAATTTGTTTCTTCTGATCCTATTTCTGTCTTTAATAATTTGAATGTTCATGGGCATTATCTTATCTCTTACTCTCAATTTTCTGTCCTATAAATGAAGTTTTTGTAAAGTTGCAGCTCAAAAATTGTTTTCTAGAAAGGAATTACTTTTCTGTATATATTTCTTTTTTATTTTATGCCCCTTTATTTCTTTGATAAATTTGGTCTCTCTAATAAATACTTCAGTAAGAGGAAATATCAAATTGCTGGAAACATCAGTTTAGGGCTTACAGTGACCTTTTAGTTCTCATGAAAACTTTGATGGCCCTAATACTCGGAGTTTAAAAAGCAAATACACAACTACCCCCACC